CGCGGGGATGTAGAGAAAAGGGAACCGTAGTACACTGCTAGTGGGAATGCAGACTGGTGCAGCCATTATGGAAAACATTATGGAGTTTCCTCAAAAAATTAAATATGGAACTGCCTCTTGACCCAGTGATCCCACCTAGGAATATTATCCTAAGAAACCTGAAACACTAATCAGAAAGGATATATGCACCCCTATGTTCATAGCACAATTTATAAAAGCTAAAGCCAGGAAAACCCAAGTGTCCATTATTAGATGAGTGGATAAAAAAGCTGTGGTACATTTATATCATGGAACTAGAGGCCTGGTGCACAGATTTGTGCACTAATGGGGTCCCTCGGCATGGCCTGCGGGGATTCGGCTGAAACTGGCAGTCCAACACCACCTGCTGCTCCTGCCTCCTGGTCCCACTGTGCCTGCCATGGGCTCACTCCCAGTCACTTCCGATCTGGAAAGGCTTGTGCCACCACAACAGTGCTTGCCAGCCATGAGCTCGGCGTCTGTTACCTGGCGGTCAGCTGAGCAGCACTCCCACTGTGGGAGTGTACTGATCATCAGAGGACAGCTCCCGTGTTGAGTGTCTGCCCCCTGGTGGTCAGTGTGCATCATAGTTACTGGTTGATTGGCTGGTTGCTAAGGCTTTTATATAGATAGATAGATACTATGCGCCAGAAAAAGGATCCCTTACTCTTTTAGCAAGCATGGAGGGACCTTTAGCGTATTATGCTATTCCAGTAGTTCTCAATCTTCCTAATGCCGCGATCCTTTAATACAGTTCCTCACGTTGTGGTGACCCCAATTAAATTGTTACAAATTGAACATAATTAAAGCATAGTGATTAATCACAAAAACAATATGTAATTATATATGTGTTTTCTGATGGTCTTAGGCGACCCCTGTGAAAGGGTCGTTCAACCCCCAAAGGGGTCACGACCCACAGTTTGAGAACCACTGTGATAAGCAACAATAAGCCAGTCAGAGAAAGTCAAGTAGCACATGATCTCACTCATAAGCGGAATTTAATGAACAAAATAAACTGATGAACAAAATAGATCCAGAGACATAGATGCATTGAACTGATTTTTGAATAACAGGGAAAGCAAGGCAGGATGGGTGCGTGGGAAGAGAAAAAGGAAAGAACTTACATGCATGTATGTGCATATATATAAAATCCATGGGCACAGACAATAGGATGGTGAAGACCTGGGGTGGGTGTTGGAAGTGGGCTAGAAGGGCTCAATGGGGGGGCATATGTATTACTTTCAACAATAAAGATTTAATTAAAAAAATTAGTTATCTATGAACAAATAGGCACAAAAGGAGGCACAAAGGTTTAAAGAAACCTTTAGCAAATACTTCTATTACTGTGATTCTCAACCTTCCTAATGCCGCCAAAGGGGTTGCGACCCACAGGTTGAGAACTGCTGTTCTATAATGTGAACCATCTCCTCCTTTCCCTCCACTTCCCTAATTGTTGCTCTATAACCTTGGTTCTTTGCATATTGTTTTAAATCCATGCCCATGCATGAAGAAAGGTTTGCCCAAAGCCCACTTCAAGGGGCTTATTAGTCCCTAACATCTTGGCAAGAATGAGGAATTTGGCAGTTTAAAATTCACTCCTCTTCGTGAGTCCAACTTTCTTGGGCAGGAAGAGAAACATCAAGTCCATCATTAATATGAGGGGATGGAGGGGAAGGGAAGCTCTCACCTTTCCGCAGTAGAAAATATCCTCTCTCTTCACCCATCCTTCTGCTATCTTCTCTCTGATGGCCTCCCCCACTTCGTGCTCATTCCCGTAGCTGTAGGCCCCATCAATGTGCCGGTACCCAACATCGATGGCGAACTTCACTCCTGCCCTACAGCTTCCCTTAGGGGTCTGAAATAAAGAGGTTGAAGTTTGGGAGAAAAGAATTGAGTCTTTCATTTAGTTTAAACGGTATTAATCAGGACACTGCTGTAGAGTGAAAATGACAAATTCCCAATTCCATGCTGTTGTGATTGGAAGATGGTATCTAGAGGCTGGAGAAACTGACCTTCTAGGGAGCATTCCATCCTCAGTGGGAGACTCTATCCATCCCAGGACTGCCCTTAGATTTGTGGTTTCAGAGATGTGACTTGATCAATGTTTCCAGTGACAAGATATTTCTGGTTTCCATGCTATAGGAAGGCACAGTTCATTGTCATCGGTTCAGTTATAAATCAAAGTTTTGGGTGAATAAACTGAGATATAGCCACAGAATTGAAAACTAACAGGTAGTAAAAACGAATGAACTATTGATGGACACAGCAACCTGGAGGAATATCAAATAAGTATACTGAAGAAAAGGAGCAAGACAAAAAAGAATGGGAACAGATTCTAGGACAACAGATGTTGGCTGGCAGGACGTGTGTGAGTAAGTGAGGGGGTGAAAGGAGAGTGTGTGGATGTATGTAGTGTGTGAGGGAGTAAGGGACAGGAAAATCTAGCAGGAGTATCAGAGGCTGGCAGACCAGGCTCTCCTGGGCAGGGAGTCCCTACCACTGCTGCGGGCACTCTCCAGCCTGCGGGGCTCAGGCCCGGAGCCCAGGCCATCTTGAAGGGGAGAGTGTCCTCCTCTAGGAAGTCATCAGCACAACCATCTAGACTGGCTTTGGATACGGCCCATGACCCTGCAGCCACACCAGCCAAAGTCCTGCTTCCCCGCCCACAGACCTGCAGACCTGCAGACCCTTGGAAGTCCATCTCCAAGTGTGCATGGATCCCGCAGCAGTAAGTGTGAATTCTACCTCCCCAGCTGCTGACCTCTGGACACCAAAGTTGCGTTTCCAGTGCACAGGCTTCCTGAGCCCGCCGTCTGGCTCCCAGACGCCTCAGTGAGCCCCCGCTGGGTGCGCTCATATCCAAACAAGGGAACACAGCCCTGACAATAGAAACTGGGACTTCCCCCTCCCCACCTGCCTGCCCAGAGACACCACAGTAGCATGGCTTCAGCAAGTGGGTCCCTCTGAGCCTGCCACCCTGGCAGGTGACTCCCAGGTGCCTCTGGGAGCTCCCACTTGGTGTGCTCATATCCAACCAAGGGAACAAGGCCCTGGCAGCAAAACTTGAACTTCCCCCTCCTCAGCTGTCAACCTCCAGTCACCACAGTCGCACTGCCGGCGCTCAGGCACCATGAGTTCGCTGTCCCAGTAATGTGGCTCGTGGGTTCCACTCTGAGCTGCTATAATGTGCGACCCCGGCTGCTGGCATCCAGTCCCCACGTTTGGACAGGTATTTTTTTTTAAAAATGAAACTAGACCACCAAACTTACACCATACACAAAAAGAACCTCAAAATGGATAAAGGACTTAAATGTAAGACAGAAAACAATAAGAAGTTTAGAAGAAGCCATAGGCAGAAAAATAGACATATGTCATAGCAATATCTTCAGTGATATAGCTCCTAGGGCAATGGAAACTAAGGACAAAATAAAATAATGAGACTGCATCAAAATAAAAAGCTATCTTTGCTAAGGGTTTAATCTCTAAAATTTACAGGGAACTCATACAACTTAACAAAAGGAAGATAAACAGTCCAATCAAAAAATGGGCAAAGGACCTAAATAGAGTACATACAGTAGGCCAAGAGACATAGGAAAACATGACTAATCATTCAAGAGATGCAAATCAAAACAACAATGAGGTACCATCTCACACCTGTCAGAATAGCTGTCATCAACAAATCAACAGACAAGAAGTGCTGGTGACGATGTGGAGAAAAAGGAACCCTCTTGCACTGCTGGTGGGAATGCAGACTGGTACAGCTATTGTGGAAAACAGTATGGCGTTTCCTCAAAAAATTAAAAAAGGAACTTGCATTTGACCCAGTAATCCCACTAGGAATGTATCTCAAGAAACCAGAAACAGCAATGAGAAAGGATATATGCACCCCTGTGTTTGTAGCAGCACAATTTACAACAGCTAAGATTTGGAAACAGTCTAAGTGCCCATCAGCAGATGAATGGATTAAAAAACTGTGGTACATCTACACAATAGAATTCTACTCTGCTGTCAAAAAGAAGGAATTGTTAACCATCTGCAACATCATGGATGGAAATGGAGAGCATTATGCTAAGCAAAATACGCCAGTCAGAGAAAGATAAATATCACATGATCTCACTTATTTGTGGAATTGTTATTTCCTTTCTGTGTTACCATGTTACCTTGATTGTTCATGGTACTTGATGGGTTGTTCCTCTGCTGGAACATTTACAACAGTGAATATCTTTCTTATTTAGGTACTGTCTTAATTTTAATTCATCAAGTTGATAATTAGAGGTCTTTGTTTTGTCTACCAGTAGATGGTGGTCTAGTACAAGCTTCTGTTTTCTCTTACCAATTCTACTTGCCCCTGGGGTGTGGGGGTCACCACTGTGGTCATGGGAGTTGCCATCTGCATGATAGGGTGGTGAATGCTCTGCTGTATTTTGTTCGTCTGGGTCTGGAGGCCTCACTACTATGGTGTGAGGATGTGGTGGGTGAGGTGAGAGTTTGCTTTGTGAACCCAGTGCTGGGTTACCTGGTTCCCTTCCTGGCTGGTGCCACTGCGTTATACAGAGCTGGGAGACCAGAGGCATGTCTTTGTTTTTGCTACCAGGCTCCACTGTAGTAAGGGAGAGGAAGCAGGTTCTCAGGTGCCAGTGCTGTTTCTATCCCTCTTACTCTCCACTGGGCCATAGTGTGAGGGCCACACCCTGACTCCTCCACCACGACCCCATTAGCTGGGGCCACAGGTTAGCCGTGGTGGCTGTGGAACCACATCTGCTGACACCATCCCTGTTTTCTCACTCATCTTGCCTCCCCTAAGTGTTCCATTACACCCTCCTTCAGATGTACCAATGTGTGTCTCTCTCAAGCTTGCTAGTGTGTTGAACAGAGTAACTTTTATTGCATTAAAGATGTTTGATTAGTTGTAGATTTAAGGGAAGATCGACATAGGTCTATGTATTCTACTATGATGCTCTGTGATGACATTTTAAATATATAAAAATGTGTCTCTACAAACTGTTGGCCAATAGGTAGATATATGAAAGGATGCTCAGTTTTACTAATCATTAGGTAACTGCAAATTAAAACCACAATAAGATATCACCTCACACCTGTCAGAATGGCTATCATCAATCCTATATAATAAAGAGCTAATATGCTAATTAGACCGAACAGCAGAACAACCATCCAGACGACCTTCCAGACGAAGCCAGGGCTGTGAAGGCCGAGCCCCTTGCACAAATTTTGTGCATTGGGCCTCTAGTAAATTAATAAACGAGTGTGTGTGAAGATGTGGAGTAAAGGAAACCCTTGTGTGCTGTTGGTGGGAATGCCTATTGGTGCAGCTGCTGTGGAACGCAGTAAGGAGTTTTCTCAAAAACTGAAAAGTGGAGCTCTGTCCATGTTGCTCAGTAGGTTGGAACATTGTCCCATACACCAAAAGGTTTCAGGTTCGATTCCCAGTCAGGGCACATACCTAGGTTTTGGGTTTGTGCCTCAGTCAGGGTGCATGCAGGAGGCAACCAGTCTCTCTCACTGTCTGTCTCTATCTCTGTCTTTGTTTGTCTCTCTCTCTCATCACACACACACACACACACACACACACACTCTTACTCTCGCTCTCTATCTTCCTCTATTTCTCTCTAAAATCAATAAATATATCCTTAGGTAAGGAAACAAAATTAAAAATGGAACTGCCTTAAGATCCAGTGATTCCATTTCTGGGGATATAGCCAAAGAAACCTGAAACATTAATTGGAAAGAAGATATGTACCCTTATGTTCATTTCAGCTTTATTTATAATATCCAAGATTTGGAAGCAGCCCAAGTGCCCATCAGTAAACGAGTGGGAAAAAAGCTGTGATACATTTACACAATGGACTATTACTCTTCTGTTATAAAGAAGGAAATCTTACCCTTTGGAACAACCTGGATGGACCTGGAAAGTATTATGCTATGTTGCTGGAAGCTGGTCCATCCTTGCTGCTTGACACAGTCAATACAGGGAAGAAACATCTGCACATCATATGTTTCAAGGGACCTCACATATATGGCATACTGTTCTTAATATGTTTTCTCACCTTCTTGGCGCTATGTGTTTTAATCAAGGTCACCTCTCCGAGAAAGGTTGTTTCCCCAGATAGGGAGTTTTCCCTGAAGTTAGGGAGGGAATAAAATCCCTTAACTAAGTGCCAGGGGGGAAGTTAATCACTTTAATTATGAACAATCATGCTTAAGCTACATAATCTTTACTCCCTGGAATAGAGATAAGAAACGCCCTAACCTTTGGAATAGAAATTGACAGGATTAAAATCAACTGGTATAAATACATATGCAACAAGACAACAGGAGAA